ATCTTCAAATTATAATTTTGGATGGAACAAATGCAAGTGTTCCTATTGCCTCATTACTGTCATGAAGTCTTAGCCAGAAAGAGTTGTGGGTCTCTTCTGTTTGGTTATAAGTGGAATTTTCTCCAATTGTCATCTCTAGAGTAATCATATTGTAGAAGATTAGTTAAAGGCTGAGGAGGTAAAGAAGAGAGAGAAACTGCATACCATGTGCTTGAGAAGTACCCGGTATGGATGTACAAGCGGAAAAAACACCTAGGAGGGTATTTCATGGATCATAAGGATTCAAGACTAGGAAAGATGGGCTCTTTACTGTCTTTTATTGAAGAAATCGGACTTGGAGAAACACTCTAATTCGACAAAGGGGCACCATAGATCTTTTAGGGTGCGGTGCAACATCCTTTCTTTTAATAATAATAATAATAACAATAAAAGCTGAACCCTTTTTTCTCCAATATCAGAAAAATTGTTGAATATTTTTTATTTTTCAATTTTAGTTTGTTAAAGTTAATATTACATTTATTGTATGTGCGGTTAGATACCATTTAATTAAATTTTTTTGAATAATTAGTTCAGGGTTCTTTAATGTTTCTTTTTACAAATATAATAAATAAATAATCACATCACATAAATTAATTATGAAATGTTATTTACAAGAAATGAAAGAAATCAAATTAATTGAAATAAATCAAGTATTTCAAAAAAATCGCTCTATGGTTTATAGTACATTATAGTACATAGTATCTTTAAAGAACTTAATTGCGTTTGCAATTTGTTAACTGTCAAATGCTTTATTAATATAATTTAAAGATTTTAATTAAACTAAGAAATTATAAATATTTTAATAAAAATTGTGACAGAGTGACATGCACACCCGCAACAGAGTCACACAGAGTCACACAGAATCACACAGAGTCACCTAGGTCTTGGAAGGTGTGCCTTTATAAGGCAATGCATTGCTCTTGGCAATCACTCTTTTGACACTTGGCAATTTGAAAAGTTACAACTGCAATTATCGCAGCCGGCAAGCAATCTCGGTGATTTGCTAAGCCATTGTTGCGAATGTTAAATAATTATTTTCAAATGACAGCAATAAAGCAGAAATTCCTTTTAAGAATCGCGCAATCTAATTATTTACAAACTGAAAATGTATAAATTTATATTTGCATAGGCGGTAATTAAATTTTATTGGGCGGTACAGTAGGTAACGTCAGTAATATGTAAACGGTTCTATAAGCAAGCAACCAGATTAATTTAGATTTTATTATGGGTAATAAATTTTACTATGTATTTAAGTTTTAAGCCTTATGCCTCATTGGGAGTAGAGAAGAGGATAACAGTAGAAAATATTCAATATTTTATTTGACTATGTGTGCCATAATTCAAGAATATTAAAGTCTATTTTATTAATTTAATTTCTCTTGAAAAAATTACAAATGATATTGTAACACAATTTTTTCTTTAATATATTCTTTCTATTATTATGCAAACTTTTCTTGCAAAATAATTTTCTAGCTGTCATGCCCTATTTTTCTACTCTTTTCCACAAAAATGCACAAATTTATTCATTAATATGTACTATATTTTCGAAAAAGAAGTACTAGGTAGGTGACTTCAGAGAGCTGCTTGCAGTTACCAAGCATGCGTTAATTAAATATTTTTGCTTAAAATTATTTGACATTTGTGAGCTTAGTTTGTACTTTTCATCAAAGCTAATTAAATCAAATAAAAAGGAAAACATGATAATATGTATAAAAAGAAATCCATTTTATATAAGCTTTATTTGTATGATGCACCATTTTGTTGAAAGCATATATTGTTCCAGTTAAAATCGATGTGATTCAGAGACGGTAATACCTGTGAAATGCGAAAGGAAAGATCGGACATGCTTGCGGGTAGAGTTTGTTAGTAAATCTTTCAAATACCTCGATGTGGATTCAATTGATCTCAGTGCGATCAGAGGTCTTCAAGCAAAAGAAATTAGAAGGCTTGTCAAAGCCTTAAATTTCCCAACTTAGCATAACATTTATGCTCTTGGAAAAGTACAATAGATCGCAGTATACAATTTTATTTTCTATCAATATTATTTTCAAGTTGTTGATTTCCTACTGGTATTTAAAGAACTGTTACGCAACTTATTTAGATCCGGAGTATTTCTCTGAGTTTAATTTGCTTGATTAACTGTAGTATTAAACAGACTTTACCCAGACATATTTCTTCATTCTATAAAAGTTGTTTAGCTGGACATTAATTTTGTTTTTTAATGCATTACGTATTTTCTACGCCAAAATCCTAGCACAGTGGTCTCATCTCTTTACTATCAAACCTATAAATTCCATTGGATTAGGTCCCAATTTTTACAAGGTAATAATTTCTCGTGAAATCTTTTCTGTTTCTTCTGTTCTTCTAAATGAATGACAAAACGATGTATTCTTCCAAAGCCACAGAATAGCTACAACAAAATAGGTGCTCTATTGACGATAGGTTCGTCTGACAGAGATCTGTTCGGCCTAACGCAGCATGAATCTCCAGGTGCATCTGCAAGTCCGCTTAGTGCTACCCCAACTTGATCACCCCACCGGAGACGCTGTGTACCACAACGCCTTCTTCCTCCAACTATTGCTTCAAATACCTTTTTCGCTGGAGCATCTTCATCCATTCTCACGACATGACCAAGGCTGCGAAGTCGCTGAATGTTAATTCGCTGAATTATATCAACATTGATATATAAAGCTCGTACAGCTCGTGGTTCATTCGCATACGGTAGTCGTCGCCAACTTGTAGAGGACCCAAGCGTTTATGAAAAACGTTTCTCTCGAACATTCCCAGTGCTGCTTCATCATTCTGTGATAACGTCTATGCTTTTGCAGCATACAGAAGCACAGGAAGTATGAACGATCTATAGAGCGTAAGTTTTGTTTGTCGAGGGAGAGCTCTACATTTCAATTGCCTACTGAGCTCATAGTAGCATCTATTAGCAATGGTGATTCTTCGTCTGATCTCCAAGTTGACATCTTTGTTGTTTGTCATGGCGGTTAAAGTCCGTTTTGTTTTTAAGATTTTAACTTTTATTTAGATCATATTTATTGTATATTCTTATATATATTTCGGTAAATTCGCGTTTGCCTTCATCAGGAGAATTCTACATAATAAGGTAGCCAAAGTAGATGAAAGCATTGATAGATTTGAAAGTAAAGTCCATTTTAAAAATATTGTATATATTAAAAAATTAAATATCCAATTGATGTTATAAATAATTAGGAATTATTAGTCATTTTTATTAGTGATAAATAGTAAGTAAGGAAGAAAGTTGTAGCATCTTCCTTTGATGTTAACTAAATTACTGTTTTCATGTTTGAATGAATTAGTTCGGATCCTAAATAACACCAAACTGTTAACTTTTCAGCCTGGTATTACCTTTTATGACTAACAATTGAATATTCTGTATTTTAAATATGGTTATATTAAGTCAGTAGCAATTGTTAAAGATAAAAATAAGCCATTGACCGCTATGATGTTTAAATAATATATATTTCTGGCTTAATTATATCCTGTATTAATTTAATAACAATTTCATTGTTATTAATTTTCAATTTTTCAATTTTTATTTCAAAATAATCATTTCTATTCCTTTACTTGTGAAGAATGTGATAAATACAAAGGCCGTTACGACATTTGAGAAATACATAGTACTGATTTAGTTACCCTGTATTTATTTAATATCAATTTGATTTTAACTAAGCTCTTGTTATGTCCTTCATAAATTATTCCCTCGTTTAGTTTGTTTAGCTTACTTTTATATAATATATTTTTATTCCTTTACCGAAGCCTATTTGTGCTGAATTAAATGTTTATTGATATTTTCCCTTAGTAAATAAACAAGCTCATATGAAAAGTTTTTTCTTATGAATAAAATAAATTTTGCAAATGTACTCAATCAAGGAACTCATTAGAGATTTTGCATATTTAATCACAATTAATGTTACTGACGTCGAACACATGTTTTATTAAACACTTTTGGCCTCAGGCAATTTTTTAAATCGAATGTAAATGTGTCACATAAATTTTCCAATTACAACTGGTAATTGATTTTGATTTATTTTTATTTTTTTATATATAGGAATTAAGCTTAAATTTATAATTTCATTATTAGCACTCAAATTTTTTTATTTTATTTTATTTTGTTTTGTTTTTTTTTGTTTGTGGGAAAACATACAATATTCATTGCAATACTCGTATTTACTTTACTAAATTTACACTTTTTTTTGTGTATTTTTTCATTTTATATGTGCAAAGCTTGCGAATCGTTTAAATCAACAAACTGAGTCAATAATGTTCACTGACAACAGAAATGACCTGTTGCCTACCCAACAACAGCGATACGCCCACCCATTCCATACGCCTTCTTTGCACCACTCCATGCCTTATTTTTGCTTTTGCTAATATTTTTGCAATTTATTTTTATTAACATTTTTACATTTTTACATTTGGATATTTTATTTCATTTTATTTTCTGCCCATTTTCAATTTTCGTCATAGGAAATCATCATAGATTAATTGCCCGGAGCACTTTTCACATTGGTTCATTCGTACTGGACATGTTTGTCATGTAATAAGTCGTGCTAATTGGCAATTGACTGCACCTCGTATTGCCATACCCCAATACCAATAGTTACACAGTACCAGAGAGGGAGTCAGAGAGTGAGAGGGAGAGAGAGAGAGAGTCAGAGAGTGGGAAGGGAACGACTGCATGCAACAGGTATTATAACAAGCGTCACTGACTCTGATTAAAAGTTAACATTAAACGTGTAACGTGTAACGTATAACGTGTAACGGCAACAATTTAATATGCCATTATTGTAGCGGCAAATAATTCAGGGCTTTTAAATTTCTCTAACAGAAAGGCTCTTTCGGAACACAATTCTGGAGCCTTTTCAACAACGTGTTTACGGATAATTAAGATGGAAAAAAGTTATTAGCAACGTTAATTGTGAACAACTTACCCTTCTGCCGGCTTCATTGTTGTGCAAATTCATTAAAGAACGTGCTTTCGCTGAAATGTTGTTCCTCCACTTGCCACCAACTGTGCCAGTATTGCTGCCGGCAGCGCTACTCCCAGCGCCTGTACCGACACCATTGCCGCCCGTGTTTGCATTGTAAACTGTGTCGAGCGGACCATTGCCTCCGATACCATTTACGGCGCGCTGATTTTTACGTTTCCTTTTACGTTTGCCGTCCATGTTAAAAACTTTTGAATTTAAAATTTCTCGATTGATTTTTTCCTAGAACGAAAAACAAAAAAAAAAAGGACAAAAAGATGATATAAAGTAAATAAAAAATATTGTATTGTATTCATATTATGAGCAAAACATGATGCTCAAAGCGATGCACTCAAAGCTAAAATTTCAAATTTATTACACGTTACAATAGCAACAACAACAACAACAACAACAACAGCAACAATAATAACAAATTTTATTAAAAAATTTGGTTTTTGTTACAAAAACTTTTTCATGTTATCCTTATTAGAGTTGTTAGAGTAACTCAAAGGTAAAATGAGCATGAATTTTACCTTTGGAAAAAAAGTAATTTTGAAACCAAACGCTTTGACAAGTTGAACAGCTGGCGACGTAACAAGCCAATATAAAAATCCTCACAAACTTAACGTTTCTCTTTTATTTACAAATATAATTTTATTTTCCTCTTTTGGTCAGTGCACGAGGCACGGGACACGGCATACGGGACACGGCATACGGGACACAGGCAGACGGTTCGAGCTATAATACTTTGAAGGGGAGATCTTTTAATTTGGGTTTTGATTTTGGGTGGACAATGTTTACAAGCGCCAAACCAGGAATATTGTACCTATAAGCCATTTGGAAAAACATGAAGCTGAAGTGAAAACATTGCGAAACTTTTTGAAATTTTTGCTGATGTTCGTCTGTGTACCTTTTCTTTGTTGTTATTAGTCTCAGGTATGGATCTCCCAAATAAGTTTAAGTATTTAATAGAAACAATTTAATTTTTTATAAATTACAATCGTTCTTTAGTTAAGTAAAAGGTTTTGTAGCAAATGTGTCTCGTTAAAGAAATGTCAATGATGCAATGAGAATGATTGGGGAACTGTACTGTTACTAATGAGAATTATAATGATTATCGTAATATTTTTTTTAATTGTGACTTATACGTTAATTATTAAATATAAATAATTTTAACTAAAATTAAAAATGAGTTTAAGATAAATAAAATTGTTCTGTTCCATGAGCTATAAGTAGTAAACCTCAAGTAAAACACAAGTACAGCACAAACTGAGAGCGTGACACAAATTAAGTGCCAAATTACGCTCTTTACATAGACTTTCAAGGAACAGCTTTATGTAAAATCTGGTGAGAACATCAGTGCCCCACAAATAGGTAAACACTACAAAACAGCTGATTTACTCATTATAAAAATTTTACTTGAAATAAAATGTACGAGTAAAGTCTCTGTAGCAATTTCAAATTTCGACGGGGATATTACGCTCTCTCATTTACTCAAAAATGCTTTCATTTACTCGAGAATTTGCTGGTGTGACGAAGTAATATAATTACAACAAAGAGAACTGTATTCTTACCTAATGAGAATAATACAGTGATTATCGGCATTTCTTTATCTAATTCTGACAGAAGTTTTTGTTACAATTAATAGATGTGTAATAATTCTTATGAATATGTTCCTAAATAAATTAATATTAATTCTAAAGCATATTTATAATGTATTATATCGCATTTATAAATCTATTATCTGCAAATTTCTTTTTTTTTTTATTTAATTATGGCAACCTACAGGATGAGATATGTAGTAGATCTTTTAAATATGGTATAAAACAAATTATTAGTTCTAAATATGTGGTTCTAAAAATATTTTTCATACCTCAATTATAAATCTATAAATCTATTCTACAGGTTAAAGAAGTGTGTTAGATCTTATAAATATGGTCTGAAATAAATTAATAACATATCAATTAAGTTTGTTAAAGATAGCACATGACGGTTTCATTCGATATTAGCAACTCATAAAGTAATATTTTTCTAGTCCTGCCATGAAACCAGGAATATTCTATTTTGGGTTTGATATTGCGCTAATTTTAACAAAATATTCATCGGGTAATGACTCTTCTTCAAATTTTTGCAGTGGTTTGGGACATTTTTTCTTTTCGACATTAAAATCATTACTTTTAAGGGTGAATACTATTATTGAGAAGTTCTAATCGCTGGAATATATTCAGTATTAAATACATTTAGCTACAATTGATTTGCAGAAATACTTAACATATATTCTGATTATACCCACAAATTAAAAATTCTCACAAATGTTATATTATGTAGAACACATCTCTAACAGAGACGTAGAAGCTTAGCTAGCATAACTGAACGAGGGAAACTTATAGAGAGAGAATAAAAAAGAGAAAAAGACTAAAGAAATGAGATTGAAATTGAGACAATGAGATTGAGAGAAAGACATTGACAGAGAAATTGAGAGAGGTAAAGATTGAAATAGTGAAAAGGATATTGAGAGAAAGACATTAAGATTGAGAAGAAGAGATTAAGAGACAGAGATTAGAAGAAACAGAGAAAAAAGGAGAGATTGGGAGAGATATTGAAATTCAGAGATTAAAGAATAGAGATATTGAGATAAGGATAGATTGGGAGCACGGTTGCCACTTATGGTACTTTAGTACCAAAATTGGTACTTTTTTTTTTATTTTTTTCGTTTGGTACTCATGTTTAAAAAAATGGTACATTTTTGACGACCCAACTTTATTGTGGATATTTCCAATTAATTTTTTTTATAAATGCAACTTTGCACTATTTTATATTTTGTTCATTTATAACACTATGAAAAACACAGAACGAGAAAAGAAAAAGGTCCAAAAAAATTTTGGACCTTTTTTTACAGAAATGGTACCTTTTTAAACCAATTTTGGTACAGAAAAAAATTTTCAAGTGGCAACCGTGATTGGGAGAAAGATATTGAGAGCGAGAGATCATAGGTGATAGAGTTTTCGATAGAGAGAGAGAGAGAGAGAGAGAGAGAGAGAGAGAGAGAGAGATTAAAAAGAATAGAGAGATTGAGAGCGTGAAAGTGATGGTAAGAAAGAGGGAGATTGAAACAGAGAGATAGGGAGATAGAGAGATTTAATATTATTCCTAACAGAACGTAAGAGTTTCCTGTTTGCCTTACATGGGTTGGAATGACTTGTGTTAAAGAGTTATTCCACAAGTACCTCTCTCCCTGAACAATCCAAACTAAAGAGACGAATTAACATTTTACGAATTTATGTCTTAGAACAACATTAGATTAGGGCATATCAAGGAACTCAGGTATACGGAAATATTCTTATCAAACGAGGCAGTTTTTGTTAACAGTTTATGGACCCTTGTAGTGAAAGTAATTTTGAATTTTACATATTCATATATATATAATCTTAAAACATATATCGTATTATTAACAAAATTAATAAGTTTTACAAAATATTGATTACTGATTTTCAAATTAATTGAATAATACAATTTTACGTGTCAGTTGATATGTTTTCTTTGCTATTGTAGAAAATTATACAAAATTGAAGTGCTTAACAAAAAAGGAACCCCAATTTAAGCACTTAACATTTCTTTATATCGAACTTTTTCTATATATACCAATATGCTTGTATAATATAAATGTGTTTACGTGTATATTAAAATACGCAACTGCTTACAAGTTTGTATATTGTATAATGTAATACATTTTCCTGGTTCCAACGTGACGTAGCTTTGAGTGTCCATTTAATATTCTTAATAAATGTACAACAATTCACTCACCTGTAATTCTAACATTTCCCTTTGCTCCAATTTGGAATTGAGTATTTCCTTAGTAATACGTTCCTGTAACTCCAATAAATCTGCTGGCTTAATGCGCCCCGCAGTGTCTTCCTCAGATGATTCTTCCTGTTTTGGTGGCGCCACAGAAGATGACTTTAACAATGTGTCCTTTGAACTTGCTGTCACGACTGTTGGCAACTGACTGTTGCTGTTGCTGTTGTCATTGCTGCCACTACTACTGCTACTACTGCTGCTAATACCACTGTTACTCATGTTGTTTGCATCATTCTTGACAGTTTTATTGAAAATTTGTTGATTGTTGTCATTGTTGATATTTTCTATTGTTGTACTGGCTGTTGTTGTTGATATATTAGTTGGTGCTTTCAAAGTTGTTGCTGCTGTTATGTTGCGTGCTGATTTCATCGTCGTTGTAGTAACATTAATTTTCTTAAAAGTTGCAGCAACTGCGCCAGCATCATCTGCTTGCATTTGTTGGTTACGTCTTTGATGAAAACGACCACGTTTACGTTCAGGATTACCAGCACCACGTGTACCACGTCGTGTTTCCTTCTCACGTATATCAATAAAATCAGTAGCAAACCTATAAAAAATATATATACTCGAAATTAATAGAATTTTAAATTTGAGCTTATTGAATATTTGCTTAGCATATTGCTTCGAATATAATTTCCTTACTTTCTTTAAAGTCAGTTTTAATCTTAATACATATATACATACATATATACTCGTACATACACCATATACCATAATAATTTATCTGCAAGCGCAAATCTCAACAGCAAATGCCGCAAATTTACCCCACAGGACTTGTTTATTATTTGTTGTTGTGCAATAAATTTACATGTTGGCCATGAATTAGAAATCGTAACATAGCAACAAAACGCCCTTCGAGAATAACCATTAAGCTTAATTGCATTTGCTGCACTTTGTTGTAATTGCATATATCCTGAAGGAATGTTTTTAGTGTTGATAAGATTTACATAAACGCTGTGTTGCGGAGTGTTTCAGGGTGTGTTTGCAACATATTCGAGAGGAGGGTTTGGGAGGGTTCAACTGTTAAATAGCCGGCAGTAAAAAATATGTGACATATGTGTTTTTGTTCAAAAAACAAGGTAAATTAGAGATTTATTTTGGGAATTAAGTCTTTTTAGAATAAGAATTAAATTTATGAAAACAGAGATTTTTTGTGTTTTGTATTGCCAGCAGCTGTTGTTTTAAAAAATTAGTTTTGGTAGTAAACTCTTCTTCATAAAAGGATTATAAAAAGCTTGTAGCTTGTAATAATAAATGCAACTAATTTGTTACAAGTACGAGTACTCATAGTTACTTGGTAAACTATAAAAACATAACTTATTTCTTTGCCTCAAGTCAGAAAAGAACCATTATTGTGAGAATAATGTGCTTCACGTTCATATATGTTAATGCTTCTTTAGTCTTATCGTGTTGTGCACACATTCTAGTTAAAAGGTTAAAAACCCTAATTTGCTTCCTACACTCCATCACATTAACCCTAAATGTAAACAAATCAGCACGACACAATTTGAGTCTTTAGTGAAACATTTGCTGATGTTAAGTTACTTCTGATGTAATATATGAGCATGTTTATGCATTTGCAGCAAACAAACTTATAAAAAATTTCATATAAAAATATACTATAAGTTAGTAAAATAAACAAAAAATAAATAAAATAACAAGGCCTTAAAGCTGTTGTGCGAACATCGTGCCGTTATTATCACCTCCTTGCCTCGTACCCGAGAAACGCTATTAAAACAGTAACATTACACGCATATGCTCGTCGCTGCATACCCGAGGCTTATCTGTCAATAACTTGGCAACATTGTTGAGTTGTGTAAAGTCCTTGTATGCGGAAACAAGGCGCGCCAAAAGTTACACCAATAAAAAGATTACAAAATGTGCAGTAAAGAATATAAAAAAATTTACTCTAAATATTACAGTCCTTTTGTTTGATTGCCACTTGTGAGCTACATTTTCAAACAGAACTGTTAACTTATTTATGTTTATGTTCCGCTGCGTTCTATATGATCTAATGGTACAGATCTTCACAGAGATGTCAACGAAGTTGACACCTGTTTAAAAATATGTGAGAGACAAAGCACTAAAACTCTTTGGAAATAAATATAACCATTCGAAACAAACACTAAAGTAATTAAGAAGCAAGAAGTGATAAGTGGATCGAATTCTTCTCAATTAGCTAAAAAACCGTTTTAATTCCTTGTAATTATGGACAGAAGGATAGGCATACCAAAACGAGTCAATGCATTGATAAATGCAAGTATCTGATCAACACCAATGTTAGAATATGATCTGGTTTGTTGAGAAATGGAGTGCCCGGTTCTGATCAAGCCGAAGGTCTTCCGGTTCCTCCTTTTCGATCATTCGTAACTATGCTTTACAGAAGAGTAAGCCGAGTCTGGTTCCATGTCGTTCTACCATATAGTTAACAGCCACGTTAGGACAGATACTAACTTAGATGCTTCCGATTTATTTATAAACTAGCTAAGAGCTTGTTCTTAACTTAAAACTTAAAGTATGCAAATTTAAAAAAAAGTTATATGTTGAAACACTTAAAGTTAAAATTCACCCAACTTTCCGAGCCAGGCATTAATAAATTCACTTACAATTGCGAGTAGATGTGCTGATAGACAAAAAAACAAGAGCAACAAAAACGAAAATCAATTCACAAAGTATGTCTCACTATTTGGGTTTGTATAGTACAGATGAGATGATCGAGAAACTTACGAGAAAACTAAACATATAGAAGATATTCAGCTGTATACAGGAAAAAACTGTTATTGAAATACAATTGCTTTGCCACTTTAAAAGAGGATTAAGTAACAAAAATACAACTTTTATAAGATCAAAAAATATATAGACAAGGGTGTATTGCGATCTGTAATATTTACCATTAATACTATTGATAAATTTAATAAAAAGTCTTAGTTCAAGATCCCGACTAAATAGTAACCAAATTCTTTATTTACGATAAGCGCAATTAAAGGAATTAGAGCTATTGTTAAACCTAACAATATCTTTTGATTTAAAATCCCAGTTATATAGTAACTAGATTTTTTCTTTCTTTGTGAGTTTCACAGTAATATATTTTTTATTGACATTACAAAAATGAATAAAAAACAGTCACTAGTTATCTAAACAGTTTTAGTTTGATCATAATTTATGAATTAAATAAAACATTAAAAAATTATAAATAGTACTATTTATTAAATTAAGTTAACTTATAAAAAATACATAACAAAGTTATCACTAAGTATTATTATATTTGATTTAATCCTACACTAGTTTACTATAAATGCATAATAAATACAAAATATGTCTGAATTATTTACCAAATGATGTATGCTTCATATATCAAAATCTGAATATAGCTTCTTTCAATTGTTTGAAGCAAAATACTCATAACATGGACTGCAAGTATATTTTTATAACCACCAATAAAACTTGAACCCAATATCATG